TCTGTATCACCCATAATGGTAAAGACTACCCCATTTCTGTATCACCCGTCTAAAGGTATTTGCTTGGGTCTGTCTGTGCTGTGACAGTGTCCTAGACTCAAATGAATGCCTCTAACACTCCACATTTTTGAGCCATTCAGTCATGCATTTTTGTTATTGTTGAAAGTGGTGCGAAATTGCACTGCATGAGCTAAAGTCCTTGGTGGTCTTCCAAGGATTCCAGCTAAAAAGGCACTTCCTTTGTTACCCAGGAGAATGCGGTCCAGTAGGTCATTCAAAAGGGGAAATAAAAGCAGCAGCCCTGGGAGGGAGATGAAGGACAAGACAAAAAGAATAAAATGTTTTGGGTGTGAGCACATTAGCTTCCATTTCCTGCCACAGGTCACTAGTAACTCCTCTATCTTTTTTGAGGGGAGGGCGGGGGTCCAGATAGACATTTATGCAAAAATGTACCTCAGGTGTTTTCCAGGGCTGACGACAATCCATGGGAACACTTAAGTGTCCCTGAACACCTTCCCAGCTTCCTTTCCCGTTAGATGCTAGCTGGGGAAGATGCCCTGACATCTCCTGAGACTGCACACCCCAAACCTGAAGAAACGGGAGAGGGGAGCGATTGGGTTGTCCACTCCCGAAATGCTTCCAGTCCATCTCAAAGACACATGTTCTCTGCACGACCAGATGGAGACTTGTCCCTTTCCCAGTAAGGGCATGGCTGCATGCCTCCCTTCAGAACGTGGGAATGACAAGTGTAATCTTCACGGCAATCATCTCTGAAGCACCCAGGCCCAAACTGGGCAAGGCACAAAGACCCCAGGTCTGACCTGCAGAGCCCCCAAGCTTCGGCGACTGCTGGTTCAGTTCTGTTACTGGCAGGCCAGGAGGAAGAGGGAAAAGAAAGGGGGCTTTTCAGAGCGCTACAACCAATAAAATCAGGAGGCTGGGAGGACATACTTGAGCTCCCCAAAAGACAGGCGGCTGAAGGGCAAACAACCTTTCATCAGTACTGTGTGAGTTACTTGACAACTGTAAAGGTGCAGGGGCCGCCTGGGCTACTTCCAACAATTTCCTCAGTTCTATTTCCAGACGGAGGCCGGTTACACTCTCAAAGGGCCCAGCAACTTCCCTCAATTACTTTTGTAATTTATATGTAATTGATGACTGCACTTAATCTCCAAGGTTATTAATAGCCCTTCCAAAAGATGAGCGCCGCGCCCCCCAAGTCTTCCTAAGCCTTTGGAAGTGCCTGGTTAAAATTACAGTATTTCCTTTGCTGGATGCTGGCCCCCTGCCTGCCCCACCCGGGCAACCAGTACAGCGAGGCAAAGGCGCACTCTGCACACTTCCATGAAAGGTTTGGAATGGAGGTTTGGCCTTCGGGGCTCGAATCTCTAACTCCTCCGTTAGGTTAAGCTGGCCAAGAGCCAGTAAGGTTCATGGCTCTTTCTGAGCCCCAAGGGTGAACAAGCTACCTGTGCCGCTCCGGGCGCCAACCCGCAGGGCTGAGCGCAACAGTTGGCAGCTGCGAAAATCTAGTACAACAGGGAAGGAGGACTCGCCCAGGCACTGCCACCGGCGGGCCTCGAGACCTCCCGACCAGGAGAAGAGGGAGTGAGTACCCGGGGTGCTGCCTCCCCAGAGCTCCAGGAGGGCTTCCCCAAATACCCCACGCTCCCCCCCCCCCCCTTGTGCTGAAATCCGGTGAACTTTTTCAGAGGCAAAGCCATCTTCATTTGCATAACCATCTCCAAACTGAGATTCAGGTTTCCTGTAATCAGTCCTTTCAAAGGTCTGTAATTGAAAGTGCAATTAACCCTTAAAATGAGGTGAGAAAAGAGAAATGGGAGGGAAATACCCTTCTTATCCAACACCTTCCGGAAAGCTGGAGACTTCCCAAAAGTCAGGATTTGGAAGAGTGGGGAGTAAAGGAGGGCGTTCGCTTTTTAAAGGTGACTTCTAAAGCCCTTGCAGGTCCTAAAACTAATCCGTGTCAGCAGTGGAAGAGAGGCGGAGAGAGGGGTTTTAGGAGAACGTCAATGAACCACTCATTCAAGTCGCACGTTTTTGCACCCCAAGGAATCTGCAAACTCCGAGAGGTTCTCCCACCCCGCCCCCACTCGGCCTCGTCGTCACCCACACAACAAAGCGGGGAACCCAGTAAGGAATTCAACCCGGAAAAGGCAAGAGAGCCCATGCCACGCACTCTGAGGGCCAGAGTCCTTAGTGTCTTCCCGAGACCGAAAAGACTGGGGGGGGGGGGGCGCAGAACACCGGAGTGGCACTGCACAAACCGGCGGCGCCCCTCCACTCGCGGTGCCGGCTCCGCGCCGGAGCTGGCTCCCGCCTGCCGGTTTCACCCTCTCGGCTACCTGGTGTGGCGTGGGGGCCGCCCCTTTCCCGGGGTGCCCACCGCTCGAAAATGGGGGAGGATTCCCACCTACCGTTGATCTCATAGAGGGGGGCATCGTTCTTGTTGAAGCCTTTGGACACGTAAAGACGTCGCACTTCCGAGCAACTTTTCGACTTGAGCTCCGCAGCCAGCAGCGAGGCAGTGAGCGCGGCCAGGGTGCAGAGAAGCGCGAGCAAGCCTAACCGTGCCATGGTGCGGACCCGGGCAGACGCGCTCCCACCTTTGGGGAACAGAATGAGACCGGATGGAAAGCGGGGTTGCGGAGCGGGCGGAGAAGCGCGGAGTCAAGGACTCACGAGTGGAGCGAGGACCGAGGAGTTGCAGTTGGTAGCAAAGAAGGAGGAGGAGGAGGGCAAGAGGAGGAGACGCGGGCGAAAAGTGGAGCTGGGCCTCGCGTCAGGCAACGGTCCCCGGTGCCAGGCGCCCGGCCGGGGTGGAGTACAGGGAAAAAGGCGTGGAATGGGCGCAGGACCCAAGGGAAATAGGGAGAGGATCGGTGACCTCGGGGCTCCGAAGGCTAGAGATCCCGGGCCAGTTGGCTAGGGGCGGAGGGGCTCAGGAAAGGAAGGGAAGGTGGCAGGCGTCGCAGGAGAGCAGAGTGTGGGCGGCGTCGGCGGGTGATCGCTGGCGCGGCGCTCCGGCTACCCGGCGCGGCTCCGCTCACTGCCCTCGGCCGCACAGTTGTGCCCTTCTCAGCTCTGCGGCTGATTGACTGGCCCGGCTCGCGCAGCGAGGCTCCGCAAACTTGGCCAAGCGGGGCGGCCCTAGGGAGGGAGGGGGCGGGTACGGGGGGGGGGAGCCCGAGACAGGCGGGAGCACGCAGGGCCGGGCCGGGAGAAAACCTGGAAGCTGGGTTGGATCCGGAGCGGGCCAAATCCACTTCCTAGGGGGCCCGCACGGGGCGCCCGGCACTCCCTCTCGCGACACGCCCTGCTGGACTCCTCCCTCCTGCCCTCCTCCTCAAGAGGCGGAGAACCTGTCCCTCCCCCGCTCCCCCTCCCCGCCTGGAGAGGAAAGGCCAGTTTCTTCCCGTTTAAGGGCCCAAGTCCCAGGGATCCTGGTGGCCTGGGTCTTGGAGCCTTCAGCCCCTGACGGAGCCACAAGCCTTTCCCCACAGCCACCTGTCCCCGCGGGCCAAAGCAGCACACTTCAGCCCCAATACCTGACTTACTGCTGCCACCCGGTATCCAGGGCCTCTCCTAACCAGTGCCTGGGCGAGGAAGGCACCCACTCACGTTACTAGCATTGTTTTGCTCCAAACAGCGGAGGGACTTGGAACTCAGAACTGGCCTAAGAGGCTCACCTAACCTTCCTGGACCAGCTTCCCATCACACAGTGTTCCTTCATGAGCACAGGTTCATGAGTTCCTAACTCTGGCAACCATTTTCTCATCCCCACAGAATGTTCCGTTTCCACTCGTGCCCTAGGTTTTGCAATAAATATAAACAAACTCTGAAACTGACCAGAAAAAAAATATATGAACCTTGAGTAGATGTTCTCCCAAGTTTGCTTGGGAGTACTTTTGCCCCCACACTGCCCTATGGACATATTAAAACTGAGGCTCCACAGAGAGAAAGAAAACGCTACTAATTAGCACTCACCTAAGGGCAATGGGTCCAAAACCCGGACTCCTGAATGGGGGTCCATGGTGGTCACAGGGAATGATAGCCCAGGATCTCCACTCCTTCCCAATCTACATTTAGCCACAAGAAAACTGGGCATGGGTGAGTCTTCCCACCTTCCGAGCTTTGTCAGATTCCATTAATGAGTGTTTTTGAAGCTCCCAGGGCTCCTTTAATGAAGGGAACCGTGCAGATTGTGAACTTGTCATTACTGTTGTTATTGTTACAATCTGCTTTAAGCGGTTAGGGTGAGAAGTGCCTCAGACACCTCGGGAGTGTGCTGGGAACTGGGCAGATGAAAAGGGCTGGAGCTTATTATTTGGCTAGACTCTCAATTCCCATAAAATTACATAGGGTGAAGATATGAACCATCATTACAATTATCGCCCTCAGAGGGTTTGTTGAGACTTCCTGCATGGCTCTTTGTAAACCTCGTTGACATGGTTGTCCATGCGGAGCCATAGGAACTAGGGGAGCTGTTTTGAATGCCCACTGCAGACTCCGGTCTCCTTATATTAACTCTCATAGACCAGCAGCATGAACAGACACACACACTGGGACCCGTCTCTAACTGAGACTTCCAATTTCTTTTTGTTTGTGTGCTTGTTTCTCCACATAGCCCTGGCTGTCCTGAAACTCACTCTGTAAAGCAGGCTGGCCTCTAACTCACAGAGATTCGCCTGTCTCTGCCTCCCAAGTGCTGGAATTAGATGTCTACATCGCCACACCCAGTTGGGACCTTCAATTTCTGATGTCTGGAAACGCATTTAAGTTATGCAAACTAGGTTCCACTAAATTTCCTGTGATTTTTCAAGGAAGTTTTGAACAGTCCAGGTAATCCTTAAACTGATAACCATGAGGTCCTCGAGGTACTGCAAGCACTTAGCTTTCATTGATGTGTACTTAAAGGTATTCTTCGCCAAGTGAAATATGATCCGAGACACAGCCAACATTAATAGTAAAATGAAACTCTGAGCCAGGTATATGGTGCACACCTATAATCCCAGAAGGTGTAGGCTGGAAGATAAAGAACTCAAGAAGCGCCTCGGGAACACAAGGAGTTTGCGGTTAGCCTGGGCTACACAAGACCATCTTTCAAGCTAAAATGAAATAAAATTCAGTGACAATAAGAGAAAAAAAATGATTCTCCTAAACTATAAAGTGGGCAGTTGGAACGCTGCGTCTCAGAACAAGAGAAATTCATTTTTCCCCCCTCAAGCCACTAATGCTCTTCCTCTTAGCATGTTATTAGCCAAAACTTGAGCCTTTTCTACCGGAAACAGTAACCTCTGGCTACAGGCAGATCTGGACAAGTCTGAACTTTACCAGAGAAGGCAGGAACCCCAAGCCTTGCACTGGGGCGGCTCCCACTTCAAAGTCTCCTTTCATTTAAATACAAACAGGGTGAACAACTGGCAATCTATGAAACAAATATCGCCCAGAAGGAAACTTTTCAGATGGCCCTAGTTCCTTATTCTCTCTCCTCCCCCACCCCAGCTCTCCAACAGGCTGGAGACGCACCTATGCCGGGTTGGGGGAGGGGTGGTAGTAGAGGGTGTAGGGGGAGGGGAGTGTGTGAGTCCTCCGCCACCAGTGTGTTGAAGACTGCATGTACAATGCAAGATTTCACATGACTTCGATTTGATTTGGTTTTCACTTTTTTTTAAAGATTCATTATTTTATTATGTATACAGTGTTCTGCTTGCATGTACACCTGCATGCCAGAGGAAGGCACCAGATCTCATGATAGATGGCTGTGAGTCACCATGTGAGTACTGGGAATTGAACTCAGGACCTCTGGAAGAGCAGCCAGTGCTCTTAACCACTGAGGCATCTCTCCAACCCCTGGTTTTCACTTTTTAAAAATATTATAGGAAAGATCACATAGAATTTACCATTTTAATCATTTGAATATAATACAGTTGAGGGCTGGGGAACTAGCTTAGTTGCCATGCAAGTATGAAAAACTGACTTCAATATTCAGAACCAGTGTAAAAAGGCCCAGTGTAGAGGCACACATTTGAACTCCCAGTGCTAGGGAGGATGGAACAGGATTGCCAGCCAGCTTAGCCAAATCAGTGTTCTGTGAGCTCTAGGTCCCAACTAGGGATCCTGTCTCACAAAGCAGGGTGCCTGGCTCCTGAGGACCAACACCCAAGGTGGACCCCTGACCTCAATATGCTTCTGCACACATACAAACACAGTTGCACATGTACACACAAATAAGATACACGATACACAGTTCAGTCACATTGTACCATAACTAGTTCCAGAACATAGTCATCATCCCGAAAGCAAGCTACACTATGAGCACTCCATTTGCCCACCAAATCAACTGGCTTCCTGTTTCTAGGGGACATTTCGTATGCAGAGAATTATACAATGTGGGGATGTTTTTGTCTGGCTACCTTCACTCAGTGTCAAGCTGTCTCTCGGGGTCCATCCATGGACTAACATATTTCAGTATTCCCTTCCTTCTTAAGGACATGTACTATTCCGCCACACAGACATGCCGCAATGTGAGCCGGCAGCGCCTTTCGGTTTGCAAGATGCTGCCTGGTTTACCCTCATAGCTGAAAAATGTAGGTGTCTTAGGGGCTTAGGATGCAGCTCAGTGACAGAATGTATGCTTAATAGATCCAAAGCTCTGGTCCAACTCCTGGCATCCCTTCAAACAAGAACATCTTGAATTTTGGGGCCATTGTTTAAATTCAGTCTTTAACAACGTCTCACACACACACATGTATACACACACACGCACACACACACACACACACACACACACACAAAGTACTTTGAACGTATCTCCCCAAGTCCCCTCTTATTTGAACTCCCCTCCAACTGAATCTTTTCTTCTCAGTAAGTTCCTCTTCTACTTTCGTGTATGTGTGTGTGTGTGTGTGTGTGTGTGTGTGTGTGTGTGCATGTGGGTGGTTGGGGGTGCCTGCATGAGCATAGGTGGAGGATTATGGGTGTAGCTTCCGACATTCCTAGGAGACGGTCCCACAGCAAGGTTTTGGGGTTTCTTTTTAAAAGAGGCAAGGAAACCAAGTCTCAGACAAGTAGTGTAGCTTATAACCATAGAGCCCTTTGAGTAGCTGAACTGAGACTGAAAACTAAGACCTCTGTCATAATCCCATGCTATTTTTGGTCACAAAATACAGTGCTCTGGGTTTCATTTAGGGTTAGTGGTAAATGTGGAATTTCCCCAGATCGTGCTTCAGATTAATAACTGATCCTGGAGTTCATACAATGTGTGGGACACTGCTTAGTTCTAAGAGGAGGCAAGATGTCTTAGCCAGGGCTGACTTAGACAGAATGCACTTACAGCATACCTGCTTTTCCCAGGTGAGGGATTTCTCATCCCATGCATAGGGAATGAAGAACACATTGTGCTATCCTCCAAGCAAAGAGAATAAATTGAATCAGGTTCTTTTGATCAACTGGTTAGCTCCCCACGCCATCAAATACAAAGACGGGGTGAGAAGAAAGAGGGTTCCTTCCCTAGTTACGCTAAGTTGTTTGTGTGCGCCAACAAGAATATGTCCTCCTCTCTCATGTCAGGAAGTCACTGCACCCTTACGGGATTTGCCTTGTGAATACAGAGCTGTTCTCCATTCCATGGGTAGTTCTTTCAGATTCAGCCTTCGGGTTTCTAGAAAGCCTGCCTGAGAAGCTCCAAGCAGAAGCAGCAGCAGCAGCAGCAGCTCCTGTCTCTAGACCTTGAAAGCAAATAACTGCCAACTTTGACCCTCTGCACACTGTCTGAGAACTCTTCGCCGCAGCACTTCCAGGAGCTCCTCCATGAACTAGGCATTTTCCCAGGGAAAGAAAAGACCTCTATTTGAAATCTTCTGGTTTCTCAAAGTGAGCGACTAGTTTAGAACTGTTAAAAGATTGTTTGAGCAGGACTAGGGATGTAGCTCAGTCAGTAGAGCGAAGCCCTGGGCTGGGTATTTAGCGCCCCATAAACTTGGATTGGTGGGACATGTCTGTAATCCCAGAACTTGAGAAGTGAAGTTCAGGAAAATCAGAAGTTCAAGATTATCATTGGCTACAAAATGACTTCCAGGCCAGTCTGTGCTGCATGAGACTCTGACTA